GGGGGGGGGGGTAGACAACCTGTAGCTTGCTGGAGCAGATGAATTCTAACAGGTGTCCCCAGAAAGATACTCTGAGGCTGAGAGAGGTCCCAGCCTCACACCCTCTCCTTTTGTGGAGATAGGGAAAGAGGTTGGCGAACACGATGCTGGGTTTGGGTCTGATTCTTGCATCCTTGGCCAAATTATTGCTTCTTTCCAAGTCTCAGTTTCTCCATCCATAGAAGAGTCTACAAGGCACCCTCCAGGCCTACATTCTGTGGGCCTGTCCCCGAGCCTGACACTACAGGGGCAGTTAGGCTTACCCTTCACTCACCACATCTTCCAGGTTCCTTTTCAAAAACAAAAAAAACCCAACAAACAACCCCCCACCCCCCCCAGGCCCTGGTCTCTCCTTGGGCTCTTTTATTTAAAACACACACTGTGGAAAGGAAGAGAGCATTTAGACCATGTGTCCCCAAGTCCAGACTCTTTTGAGCTGTGTGTGGTGTGGGTTCTCTCTAGAGGACTGGGGACTGGAAGTTCTGCCTCCTCGGCTTCCACCTCTTCTTCCATAAATCTGCTCCTGGAGAAGTCAACTAACAGATTTGAGGCATTTAATTGATCGCAGTGTGAGGGCATCTTTTAACACTGTCCTCAGGGTTCTAGCTTTTTCTTTAACTTGAAAAAAGCTCACCTGTTTTTGAGTCCTTATTTTCCTCGTGGGGAAGGGACTGGCTAGATTTGCCAGTTTCAAATCTGCCTGTGTTTAGGTTCTGCTCACCAGAAATTTGCAACCTCAACCCATCTGGGAAAGGAAGGAGTTACCTCTCCCAGCCCTAGTAGAGAAGGGGAGAGGGCACAAACCTGGGGTGGGGGCGTTCCCAGATTATAATAGTCTCTTCACCAGCTGATCTGCCTCACACCTACCTGGGGTGGGGGGGTTGCAGTGCCAGGTGGCACTGGGCAGGCAAGGGATAGAGAGGCTGCCACACTGGTGCCACCCAGACAAAAATTCTAAGAATTCTAAGCAGTCTTGGTGAGACAGGATGGTTTGATGTACAGGAGGAGGAAAAGGGAGTAAGATGCCACCTGTAACAGTGATGTGGAGGAAGAAAAGTGGTTTTTCTCTTCCCACTTTTCCTACAGTATCAGGATAGAGGGGCATGTTAGGGTAACGTTCACCTAATTATAGAAAAGTCCAAGTTATCAACATTGAGAACTACACCTCTTCTAAACTTTAAATTAAATTTAAATAATAAGATAATATCACAAATTGACATGATTTTCCCAGGGTTGATCCCAAGGAGAAGGTCTTAGAAAAAGGACTTAAGTTTTTAGAGGATGGAGTTGTTTCCCAGTAGAGCTCCATGTCCTGTAGGCTGTTTCAACTCTGTATTAGACACAGATTATGAAATGTAGTTAATAATCCAAGGGTAAGACATACAGTTCCTAATTCTAAACTAGTTGTTAATTTGAGAGAAAGTAGGAGATGATTTCAACTTTTAGACTCGCTGGCGACTGATTTTTCTTAGAAGATGCTTTCTTTTTCAGACTATAGAGCTATTGAATGATGCTGGTAATCAAGCCATTTTTGTCATTATATCTGCTTCCTATTTGGAAATATCCCACCTACTTTCCAAATGTATAACAGTAATAATTCACATTAGTAATTAAATATCAATTTAATTTCCTGATCCTCACAATTCTTTATAAAGTTTCTGGTATAGGATCATTAAATACCTCAGTTCCACGATTAACGACAAATTCTCAGGCTAGCAGGCAATTGTGTTTGAACAGGAATATAGAAATAATCATTTATCATCTATTTTTCAGCACTAGAATTACCTACAGACTCGGGTTATGGATTTTTTTACTCCTTTTCTCACGGGTAGAAAAGCTGATTTTAAAGATCCTCCTCCCAATTGGTCTTTGAAAAGACAAAGCAAAGTAATATGAATCACAGTCTTTTATTTTCTAATTATTTCTTAAGAAATTCATATCTTCAAAGTAACCTATCTTACAGGACAATGTGCTGCCATCAGCTTTTCAACTCTCAAGAATAGTAGGAACAGCATTTACAAAATTTCCTTACTGAAAGCAATTTAATACAATGAATCCTCAGTAAAAACCCAATGCTTTGGATAATTTAGTACATACACATAACACACAACACACAACAATACTAAATTAGGTACAAATGACCATTTTAAAGGTTACCCTCAGTGAAGCCTAATGAAATGTGAAATTATCGTCAAACATTATTAATTTTTTCTTGGTAAAAGGTAGTGAGCCTGTGCTTCCTGTTATAGAGGCAAGAAAGTATGATTTACTTTCATTTCCCATGCCCTGAAAGGAAACTTTAATTCTTGGGAACCAAGAAGAATAGAAAAATTCCACTTTATCTTCATGTGAAAGGGCTGACATTCCAGGACTCCGGACCCTCTTCCCAGCCCAGGGTCTTTCACAGCCAGAGCACAGCCACCCCAGGGTGACAGACTACTTACTAGCTGTGCTCTTAAGGTAGCTCGTATTTTGCAGCCTTTTCAGAAACCATCAAAACTTCAGGGTTCCAGAGTCCCTCCCAGCAGGGCTCTGGAAAAACGGAAGATTTGGAAATCAAATCTGTAAGATATTTCATATACACAAAGAGATGCCTTGTGTATGTCTCTTGAAGATAACTTGGAGCATCTTTCCAGTTAGCTCTGCTGTGGGGTTATTGTAAGATCCTAACAGCAGGCTGTCAGGGGTCTCGGTGCCGTGTTCCGGAGCCGCAGCACCCTTCAGCCACCAGCCCCAGGGATCCTTTCTCAGACAAGGATCTGTGTAGGTCCTAGAGTGCCCTACAGTTGCAAATCCGATATTAAGAACAAAACAAAACACACGCCTATCCCCATTCCTAGCTCCTGAGATTAAATAAACCTGCAGTGCCAGACTCAGGCTCAGGATGGAGGACCCCAGATGTGCCCAGCTACATTGCCCAGGGTCGTCCTGGAGGAAAGGGAGGGGTGGAGGGTCCTATGGGATGAAGAGGAGGGACAGGTCGGGACAGAGCTAAACCCTCGGCAGGATTCATCCCCCTAGGGCGGGGTGGAGTCCATAATGGGCTCCTGGGTGTTTATTTGTAAGTAGCTCAGTTCCTTGTTTGTCTCTAAGGTAACCGGCCCTTGGCTGAGAAACCTCCTTCTCCTCAGATGCTTTCTAAACAGTCCTCACCTGGAAGCGTGTGGAGGGGGTGGAAAGAGGAGGTCTGAGCACTTTGTTGGCGAGGTGGCCGAAATTGTGTTTAGGGAAAAGAGCTAAGGGAGAAGCCGAGGGGTCGCTGTGTCCTGGAAAGGTTTTTAGATCCCTTTAAAACCATGAAATCGCGGGCGCGCGCCGGATCCCACAGCCCGTTTCGCCCTGGGGGCTGGGGCGAGGGCTGCAGGAGTAAAAGTCCATTAGCCCCTACTGAGGCGTCCCGAGTGCCCCCTCTAAAGGAGGCCTGGGGTGGGAGGGAGGGAAATTAAAAATAGGCCCCTTTAGGTATAAACAAGCGGTACCTCCCGGTGTGGAAGAAGCCGAGCGGCCCTCGGTTGGGAAGGGGAAAACAGTTGTGCAATCGTGGCGTCACTTTCTGGCTTCCAGTAGCAAAACTTGGGCCCTTTCCCAAAACCTAAATAATAGAGCAACGCGCAGAATACCGCCCGATTTGGCAAGCCCACTGTCACTTAATCCGAGGCCCATTAGGTCCTGGGACGCTCGGTGCCCACAGTGGGGAGCGCGTCTGGATGTCCGTGTCTGCCGCTCTCGGGATGAGCGACCGCCTTTTATGTCGGAGGGATCCAGGCCGCCCTGGGGGAGTCTTTGGTGACCCGATGCCCACACGATGTCCCCCTACCTGCGGGTGTCAGTTGACTGGACCTGCTGTTCCTGGCACCACCTCGAGGCGGGCGGGTGGGGGCCAGGGATGGGGGCCATGCGGGCCCCCGTCGGCTTAAGGGGACCCCAAAACCTCCCCTGTTCCTGCCCTGTCACTTCCTTTACTGAGTGAGTGGTGGTGAGGAGCAAAGGGAATTGCTCCCGCCCAGAGGTCAGGGAGGGTTTGCAAACTGCCATTCGAGGACCTCCACTTGCCAAGGCTGTCCTTGCTAGCGGCTCCTTTTGCGGGAGAGGGAGGGGTGGGTGGTCACTGCTGCTTTTGGCGTCTGCAGAGCGGCAGTCTCTGCTGCCTTGGTCCAAAGCTCCGACGGGTCGAGCGCGCACGGTCTCGGGCTGCAGGCATCCTGGGCCCAAGTTCTTTGTCTCGCGCGTCACGGGACAGTGATCCGACGCTCCTGTGCTTCCTCCTGCAGCAGCCGATCGGAAGCCTCCCAGCCCCGGCGGCAAGGCCCCGGACGCTCTTGGTAGCTTGCACGGATTGTCCATCCCGGCATCGACTTCCTAGGGACAGCTCTGCCCCGAGCCCAGAGGAGACCGCAGCCCTGCGGGCGGAGAGGGGTGCACAGCTTGGCCCAGCGGCCCGGGCGAGCCACACGGGAGGGACCCGAGGACACGGCGGAGGAGGAAGCCGGTGGCGGCTCGTGGAGGGTCGTCCGGTCAGCCCCGGCCTCTGGCCCTGTTGGCCACATCTTTACTAGCCCGGTTTTTTTTTTTCGGCTTTTCTGAACTTGGCTTTGGCTGTTGTGCCCTCCTCACAACCCAGCCTCGGAGGGCCCACCTCGCTCCATCCAGCCTCAGTTTCTGCTCTGGCCTTCTCCGTCTCCTTCCCTCCCTCCTACTTACCACTCCCCCTTCCGACCTTCCCTCTGTCCTCTCGGTTTTTGTCCTCAGGCCTTCCTTTTTCTCCTCCGGTCCTTGACGCTCTATTCTCTTTTTCGGTGTTTACTGTCAAAGGCTGTATGGAAATTCCCTTCATTTATTCGGCTTCTCCCCAGTTGTGGAAGGCCCCAGGACCGGTCTCGGTCCCACGACAGGGCTCTGTGACAGTCCTTTTTTCAGCACCTGGGGCTTGCAGCTCCTGCCCTCCTGAGCTCTCGGACCCTAATGGGGCATTCAAACCTAGGCCGTGGGTTTTCTGTTTTTATAATAACAAAACCTGGCCGGTCTGTCCTCACTCCTGGCTCCCCCACGTATTGTCTGGAAACCTGTATTTTCTCAGTGTCCAGTGGCTGAGCTTCTCTTCGTTTCTGAGACTGTGTCACACCAAAGAAGATTGGGGTAGAGCAGAGGACACTGGAACTCTCTGAGTGTTCATGTAGTCAAAAAACCGGGTGTCCTGGAGGCAGCCCTCCTCCTCCTCCTCTCCCCACTGGGGCATCTGACAAATGGTAAATGCATCAGGGCTGTTTTTGGTGTTCAGGGGTCAGCACATTTGTTAATTTAAACCACAAACTGCTTCTGGGTACAAAGGTTCTTTCCCACTTCTGATTTGTAAGGGAGAGGGGGGTGTGGTGGTGGCAGAAAAGCCCAGGAAGTGTCTCCCAAGAGCTGCTAACTGCTCCCAAACTCAGGCGCACTGGTGACGGGCCCTGGATGTAATGCAATTTTGTGGTCATAAAAATATCACTGGTGACATTCTGACATCACCTGTTAAAGGTGGCTGCCTTCAAATAAAGGAAAGTGTCTGAAACACGTTTGGGAAGGGTGAGCACGTCCGTGTCTGAGTGTAGAGTATTTCGAATGTACACTGCGACTTCTTTGCCCCTGAATTCTAGGATGACTGCTATCAGAAGGAATTATTATTGTTATTATTTTATCTGTCTCACTTTATCACCCTTGGTAGAGTGCTCACAGCAACCTGCAACTCCTGGGCTTAGGCAATTCTCTTGCCTCAACCTCCCAAGCAGCTGGAACTACAGGCACCCACTACAAGGCTTGGCCATTTTTTGTTGCAGTTTGGCTGGGGCCGGGTTTGAACCTGCCACCCTGGTATATGGGGCCAGTGCTCTACCCACTGAGCCACAGGCGCTGCCCAAGAGGGAATTATCTTGTTGGTTTACTCCTGAGCACTTGCTGCCCAGGTTGGGCAAAAAGCAGGAGAGAAAGGGAAATGGGAGGGCATTTGCCAACTGCGTGGGCAGCCCCATGTACCTGGCAGCTCCTTCCCCTGTCCCAAGGGATGGGTGTGATTGTTAGTGCCCCAGGAAATGCCAAGGGAACCTGGGAAACTGAAGTAGATACAGAAGTCACCCTAAAATGAAGTCAATTCTTAAAGGAATAAGGAGAGCAGAAGGCAATCAGCCCCAGTGGAGGACTTTTCCAGAACATCCCTAACATCCTAAAAGCTAAGGAAAATTAGCCAAGGAAACAAATAATCTAGAGGTTTTTAACTACACTAGAGTTTCTTGCAGTGTTTTGTTTTTCTTGTGTTTGGCTTTCTAGAACTAATGGGTGAGGTTTCTGAATTGAAGTTTTTGCTTATAGGTAGAGCTGCCTTTTGTGGTGTGTGTCTGCTCTGGACCTAGCCCCGGCCGACCTGTGGGAAACTACTTATTGCATCTTAGTGCAGTAGTGTCTGTTGAGGGTATTAATCTCAGAATAGTACTTTTTTCTTGTAGAGACTTTTTTTCTCAGGTTTTAAAAGTTTCTTGTCTTTAAAAAAGGTTCCATTTTACAGACAGGACTATTGATGGCTAGAAAGTTGATTTATTTTCTCTAGTAGATAGCAGGTTATGAGTTACAGACCCTGGGTGTGGAAGTTGGGGGACACCATCTCATCAGACAGCCAGGATTGGAACTTGCACTGAGACTGGGGTCTCTCAGCCTTACATGCCAGCACATCCTATAGAGAAACTGATTAAACTGGTCACAAGAATAAGGCATTAAAAAAGGGCATAAAAAAAAAAAAAAGCATGTCCTCAAGGTCCTGCTCTCTCAGTCTATCTTCATGTGCATCAAGACATCCAGGAGAGGGTTTTCCTGTGTCCATCCTTGTTGCTTAGAGAAGGACATCTCACCACTTTATGAAGGAATGGGAAGAATCTATACAGCAGCCTCTCCCTTTGTGTCGTCACCACTCCCATTTCTCTATGTTTAGGCTGATCAAGGTTAAGGAGGAGAAGATCTGGGCAATGCAACCCAGAATGGGTAGAAGGCACCTGTGTTTTAAATGCCACCTGCAAATGGAGGCATTTTTCAAATCTGTCTCTTGTTGTTTCTCACATTCTGTGGCTGGAAGTGGGTCTTTCAGAGTTCCCTGCCTCTGGGGCCGGTGACCTTCAGGCCCAGTGTCGACAGGCTTTGGTGTTTCCTGAGGGATGTGGAGGTATATAACCTTCTCTCTTGAGTCTGTGGGCAATAGGAAATTCCAGTGATCTTGTCTTAAATTCCTGTTCCACGGTGACAGAGGACTGTGACTTCTCCAAGTTTCTGGCTGTGAAATTCATCTTTAGTTCTGTAAAGCCCCCAGTGGTGACCTGGCTTGTTGGGAGACTGGCACTCCCATGGCTTCCCCTCTCTGGAGGTAATTTTGCTTAGCTGTTAAGGGAAGTCACTTCCAAGGTTAGTGGGGGATCCAGAATTTAAATATTTTTCAAAATATACCACTGGAATATTGCATTTTTCTCTCCATGCGTATGTATCTGTGGAGGTACTTAAGGCCCATAATAAAATTACATACACTGTATCAGGTAGAATAATTTGAGAAAGAATCACTCCCCAAAGTGGTTTGTCTTGCCTTTTACTTTTTAATTTAAGAGATGTACCTGAAAAAAAATAAAGACATAATCACTCAGCCCTTTGGTTTTCTTTTGAAAGAATGAAAGTGATAGACATCACTATAAAACCAGGCAGTGGGTCTTCCTGACTTCCAGGAACAAACATCCCCTGAGGACGGTGGCTTTCAGGCCACCTTTTCATTTCATCAAATACAGAGAGAAGTTTTTGGACTACTCTCCCCTCTGTCCATAAAGGCAAATGCTGTTCCCGTATTTTGTGAATCTGTCTAGGAGTAATCACATGTGCAGCATGCCTGCTCCTGTCTGTGCTACTGGAAGTGCACACAGACAGGGGCTGCAGATCTGCTCTCTGTACACCGTCAGCTTCAGCTCTCTTGTCCTCTACTTTATTCTTGTGAATGAATACTATCAGCAGGAGTTTATTAAAAACAGGGTATTTGTAAAGAGGACCAACTTTGTGCTTTAAAAGACTAAAGACAGGATTCTCCAGTGTTCATTATTAGAGGAAGTACTTAGGAGGGAATGTAACAACTTCCTCGGGAAAGGGGGCTGCTTTCTGCAAGGAGGAAGGAAAACAAACCAGAGAAGAGGACAGAGGGTCAGGAGACAGGAGACACAGCGCTTTGACCTTTCCAAAGGTATCTTGACTTGCCCTTCAGATCACGGCAGAGCTGTAAAGGTTTAGGGAAGGTAATTTTCTTGTTCTTTGAAGGGTTTAGTCACTGAAGGCCAGGAAGAGAAACAGGTAGAGGAGTGGGGAAGAACCTTGTTTGAAGAAATATTGGAAACAACCAGTTTGAAATTTCCAATATTGACACAGCATTTTTTTTTTTTTTTTACGTCTTCCCAAATTCACTGAAATCCATGTGGAATTAACCTCCTGTCAGGTGAATCCCACTTACAGACAACTGTATTTCCCCTGTTTGCATGTTTCTTGACTCTTTCAAGAGGGTGGGATTTATTTAATTGAACTGTGGTGGAGGTTAGAGCCCACTGTTGATTTCTTGGCATCAGCCTCCTCAACTACAGTTACATTGTCCTGGGTTTATTTTAAAAACAAATTCTACCTGCTCCATGTTACGTTGGATGATATGAATTTAGAATTTTGCCAGAATGTGCCTGAGGAACTTCGTTGAAAGGATCACGCATCCAGACAGGCTACGCGTAATAAGAAACACTCGATTCCCTTCTTTGAATAAACAGGAATTATGCACAAAGTGGTATTTGTTCTTCACCCTGACCTTGGTGTCTGAACTGTAGCCTCACTCACTGAAGAAATGTCCTGTGATATTTCTGGTTAAACCTTTGTATCTCAACTTAAATTTTTTTTTTTCTGTCCTTAGATCTTTGAATTTTTTTTTTTTTCTTTCCAAGAGAAGAACAAGGAGGAATCACAATCTCACTGTCTTCTTTCTCAAGGCCATAAAATGAGAACCACACATTTAGCCCCAGTCCAACCTGGGAATTCTAAACACTTGGAACAATTATACTCAGTTTACTGTAGTCCCTTTGGAGTTGAAACCAGTTGAAACTCCTGTTTTACTCTACAGAGCTCTTCTCCGGGAGGTGCTGCCTGGGTTTTTCCTTAGAACACACATCTGCTTTGGGTCTGGCCAAATCCAAAAGTGGGATCCCAGTCACAGTTTTCCTGGGCGATGGAATGTCAGCTGTGTTACAGTGTAACCACCTGGGTTGCCTGCGCTCTTATTTTTCTTCTTGAGGATGAAATGAGCTGGTCAGGTGTTTATTCACCTCCTGTTGCATTTGC